TTAACTTTCCATAAGTATACACTGATAAATTCCAAATGAATGTTAGTCATAAATCCAGAAGTCACCTATCAGAACTACCTAGTTCTTGGGGGGGGGGATTTCATCTGGGCATTAACTTCAATTTTTTAATTTATCGATTCTGAGGGAGTACATGGCTTAAGTGGGTTGTCATTTACCCACAGTGACCCTGAAGAGTCCTCTGTCCTGTAATCACAACTCTATCGCAAAAGACTACACAAGAGGCGCTGTCCCCATACAACCAGCAGGCACACCGATGGGAAAAGACACTACTCAAGTGCCGGAATCCTAGACCCAAAACCAAAGCTGCTCTGGCAAGCGTGTCTCCTTTAAATAAGCCCAGCTCATCCACAAAACTAGGTTAAAAATGCCAGCCTGAAGGCTGGGGTGAAGCTCAGTGGATAACGTGTTTATCATGCACATGACCTGGCTCACTCACTAGCGATACAAAGGGAGAAGAGAGAAGTAAACCAGCCTCCTGGAGCTAGAAAAGGAGTAACAGATCATGCTTGAAATGCAAATGACCTACAGACTACAGAATCTCATAAAATGCCAACTAATACCAAGTGACTGCATCCAAAGAATTCTTCTACATTTGAGGCCTAAGTCCTAGGGTTCAGCACAATTCACAACATTGTCCACAGAAGGCAAAGGCAACACAGATCATCTCTAAGGCTGAATTAAAAGAGAAATCAAAAGCAAAAGCAAAATCAAAAGTGGCAGATCTGAGAGGCCTTGGGTCCAGTGGGAAGCTATGAGTGGGAAGCGGAATTCAATAGAACAGAACTAATGGCTGAACACTTAAACCAGTCCTTCTCCAGTACTCACACAAACCCCTGCCAGTGACTGGGGCCAGAGAGATGGCTCAGTGGCTACAAGCACTGGCTGTCAGAGGACCTGGGTTTTGTTCCCACCACCAGCATGATGGCTCATGACCATCTGTAACTCCAGTTTCAGAGGCCTTTGAAGGCACCAAACACACTGTGGCATACAGATATACATTCAGACAATACACATAAAAATAAATAAATCTAAACATGCACGTACACCCTCTTGCCAGTAACCACGGGCGGTTTTGTCTGTTTATGTTTTTCTCCAGATGGCTTCATTTTCACTCTGCAGGCCAAACTGGCCTCAAACTTGTGGCTGGGAGTTAATAACTATATTTAAATGTTTCTTATTAAGACTGGTAACATACAGGTAAGTATTCTACTTTTAGTTACAAAGACAGTAAGTGGAAGGTATGTCAGCTAAAAGCATTTTGGTGGCCCACTCCTGTGGTACCTGCAGTAGAGATCCTCAAGCAAAAGGATCAAGAGTCCAAGGCAGTCTTGAAGAAAGCCAGGGAGGGAAGGAAGAAGAGGGTCAAGCTACTTATTAGAAAAGAAAGTAAAAAGCACAGACTTCTCACTGGTCAAGAGAGTCATCTTTTCATATCTAACCATGGAGGTTTTTTTACCTTGGTTTGTTAAAATAAAATTATTGGTGAATGGCTAGTAACAGTTTTTAAAAAGCCTTATTTATTTTTGTTATATTTACTGGAATAATTTTGTCCTATATAGTGCATTAAGTTGCTGGTTTCTTAGAAGAACTTACCATCTTCCGCTACTTTTTGTTATGATGGAATGAACTGTCTTCTCTTGTCTATCTCAAGAACCCAGCCACTACTTGGTGGTACGCAATAGAAAATGAAGAGTAAATGGCTACAGATGATCTAGAAGTGCAACCTATGGTGCCCAAGTCAGCCCAGCAAGGGGGCTGGAAAGACCCCTTCCCCAGAGGGAAGGGACTGAAGTTCCTGTTTGTATTTCCTTAAATTCCCCACAGAGATTGTCCCCTGTGTCCCAAACCACAAAATCAATGCTTTGCAACCATGTGGTCTGAAGCAATTTTGCTTCATTTCCCTCTACAGACAATGAGCAAAGTTCCTTAAAACTTGAAGACTTGGTTTAGTTCCCTTTTACTCTTTTTAAAAGAAAGATATCTGTACAGCTGTATCAACTCTCAAATTTCTAGTCTGACTGCCATGATCTTTGACTCACAGTTGGTTACTACACACTTGTACTTGGTTTGTTTTGTTTTTGTTGTTCACTACACAGTGCAAATTAAAATAAAAATAGGCGTGAACGTAAAAAAAAATAGTTACACATCAAAGTGTACCATGTCCCATTCAAAGATCCCTTTTTCCAATTTAATAAGCCATACAAAAAATGCTGTGACATTCGTTACAGGTCTTCCCTCACCAACACAAGACATTGTCACCAGCTGCAGTGCCTTCTCGAGGTTCCAGTCTAAATCCCTGTCAGTTACTTGCACTCGAATGGACTTCCTTGTTTCCAACACCAAACCGTCTCAGATAATGAGACGGAGAGAAGGAACACAAGCCCCAACGTGGGGGTTAAAAAAGAAATTCAAGAAGCTAGGCGCAGTGGTGCACATCTTTAATCCCAGCACTCGTGAAGCAGAAGCAAGCAGATCTCTGTGACCCCAATGCCAGCCTGTCTACAGAGTGAGTTCCAGACAGCCAGAGACACACAGAGAAACCCTGTCTTGAAAAACCAAAAAAAAGAAATTCAAAAAGGTGTTTTCAGTCGCACTTAAAAAGCTGCTAACAGAAATCATAACTCTGACTCTTGAGGAGGACCCGGATTCAATCCCCAACAACCATGGAGCTGCACATAACTGTCTGTAACCCCAGTTCCAGGGACCCATAGCACCAGGCATTCATGTGCACATATATGTGCATGCAAGCAAAATATTCATATACATAAACATTTTTTTAAAAAATCTTCAAAAAACCCCGCAACTTCGAACTTGAAAATGGTATTTGCTCCATCAATAGGTTGTAGGTCACATCTAGTTTACTGTAGAAACTGCCTCTCTGAAAAGACATGCAAGGAACTGAATAGTGGTTGTCACTGAAGGAAGAGAAAGTAGGGCTGGGGAACTGTGGCATACCTTTCTGAACTTTATACATAATGAATTGCTTTGTGTTGCTGGGGATGGAATGCAGGGCCTCCCGTAGGCAAGGCCAGGGCTGTACCAAGAGTTACATCGCTGGTCCCACATCAACTACTTTTAAGAAGCTGTTAGCTAAAAGTCCTTTCAAATTGTGAGGCTGTGCTCAATTCTGTTTCACAGACAAGATCAGCACTGGAGGAAGTGGCGAGGGCTTTAATGGCACTTCACTACTGAACGTCACTGCAAACCTGCTCTTCCGCAAGTTTACCCACCCAGATGGCCTACAGTGGAGCTATTCTGTTGCATCACTCCCTGAGCATTCAAATGGAAAAAAAGCCTGATACTGTAATAATTAGGAACGGAAAATAAAGGTATGCTAATGAGCTATTAAATGTTAGAAAAATAATGAATGTAACAATCCAATCGCAGATACACCTGAGAAATGTGTACTACTGCCATTTTATTAAAATGTAAACCGCCACAATGTAAACAGGGAGAAAGGCGGCAGGTCGGTACCATCTGCAACATAACTTATGCAGCTTGTACCAGCAAATGTAATACGATCTGTTGCTGGACACGATTGCACAATCTCAATTACCCAGAAGATTCTACCAAACAGGAAATTCATGGTGTGACTTTAAGTAACACAGGACTCATACTTAGAGATTAACACATCCAGAAGCCTGGAATTTGTTCCAAAACAAAACAAACCAATTCTCCAGACTCTTTGGAAAGCAGGAATGCAGATGAATTACTAAAAGACAGAAAGAGCTCATCTGCTGACTCAGATGCTTACTTTCTGATCGGGGATTTCTAATCTGATACCAAGTCTAAAAGATACTGTAGGAATACTTGAAAGTTCCTAAGACATTTCTGGAGTGGAAATTTTATGGTATGGATTTAATTTTAAACCCATTCCCGAGCCTTGCAGGGTGGTGAAAGACTTTCTGCTCAGCGCCTGCAGAGGAGATAAGCCAAGACAGTGAGGTTCAGGACAGCCAGGGAGATACATAGTTTCAAACGAACAACAAAATACCAAAAATCACGGTGTGGCTTAAAATTGAAAAACATCGTTTCCTTTGCTATACATGTTCCAGGTTCTCACGAAAACTACTATGTACCTCGGTCCTTCAAAGGGGCTTTTAAAAAAAGGCAAGCACCCCCAGGACTTGTTTCAATCAAAAACCTCCGAGCCCTAGTCCTACTTTTCTGATCCTAAGAAAGCCCAACAGGTCAGAATCCCTCTGGCTCCGCACTGAAAAACTGTTTTGTCAAACAATACTGAAATGAGCAGTGGTATGTGACTAAGCGGCGAGCAGTAGCGTCCTTGCAGGCGCTGCCACCCTCCCTCCCCCGAAAAGGAAATAAAGCTTTCGACCGAATCGGAAACACACCACGCAAGCTGGCACCGCGCTCCCCGAGATAAAGTCGGTATTCAAAGCTCTTCGGGGTGCTGCTAATTCATGTGCGAATTCCAAAAGAACGGTTCGTAAACCAGGACTTTTCTATGGAGGATTGTAAAAGAAAAAAAAATAAGAAAAAAATATTCGGGAAAGGAGCGCTTTTTCTTGCAAGTTTCGTTCAGGTGACCGCAGTCCCCGGGTCAGGCTTTGCCCTACAGCTCCCTGCAGAAGCTCCGCCGGGCTCGTCTGCTCTCCGGGGCAGGGCTCCAGCGTCCCAAGTGGCCGCACCCGGGGCCAGGGTCCTTCGGCTGCACGGCTGCAGAGAGACCCCGAGAGGAACAATCTTCTCAGCCGAGAGACAGCGCTGGGTGGAGCACCATCGCGGGGCGCCCACCGCGGACCCGCTCCTGCACATGGCTCCCGATCTACCTGCGTGTGCAGGATGAGGGGTGCAGGACACGCACCGCTCCGACTGCCCCCTGCACCCCCACACACGCCCGGAGAATTCCTGCCGCTGGGCGCATCGCTGAGCTGTGGGGACAGGCCTGGCCCTCAGGCATGCATGGCCACCCAGCTTGCTCCACCGCGTCTCTCCACCCGAGGCCCGGCGACACTCACCAAACCGAGCCATAGGCTCCCGAGCCCACCGGGGACAGGTTCTGGTATCGCTCGGGCACCTCCCAGATGGTCTTGTTCAGCTCCTGCCGGTAGAACGTGGGCCTCTCCTGAGACATCTTCCAGCGGCGGCCGCGGGGCGAGGAGGTGGCCGAGCGGGGGGCTCCTGCCTGCAGCCGCACGCTCTCCTCTGAGCCTGCCGCTCGCCCGCCCGTCCTCCGCGCGGCTGGCCGGACCCTGCTGCCCCAGCCGCCCGCGCAGCTCCGGACGCTGCGATCCCCGGCGCGCGGCCCCTCTCAGGCGCGGCGGCTCCGACGAGCCTCGGGAAAGTGCAGGAGCCGGCACTGCGGCTCGAGGCTGCTCCCGCCGCGGTCCCCCTGCAGCCGCTGCCCGGGCCGACACCGCACAACACCCTCTCGCGCCAGAGCGCCCGCTCGGGCTCCTGTGGCCGAGATCCTCCAGGCAACGACCGGGAGCCTCTCGTGGAAGTCTCGCGAGAACAGATCCCGGAGACAGCCCTCGGCCAGCCGAGATCTTACCCAATATGGAACCTGCCCGTGGGGGGGGGGGTTCGCGAGAGGGAGGCAGCTCTCGCGAGAAGAGAAACCCAGTTGGGGCGCCGAGGCAGGAACTCGGGGACTGGGCTCCTCCAGGGCGCGGAGGAGGAGGAGGCCGCAGCGCATGCCACGCGCGCCTCTTTGTGGTCGGCTTGGCGAATGCCTGGCGCCATGGCGAAAAGCCACTGACTGTGACAGCGTCGGGGCGGGGAGGGAGCCAAAAGATCTTTGAACTGCAAGCCACCTGCTCATTGGAGCTCGCAATTTCCAAGAAACCCTAGCAAGAACAGACTGGCCCTGTCCAGAAAGCTGTTGCAGTCCTGTCTGCTCAAGGACACATGGCTTACTCCTGGGGGTGTTGACGAAATCTGCCCCTTAAGGAAATATTAACCCTGCCTCAAAGCCGAGGCTTTCCCTCCAGACGCTTCTAGTAGCTCTTAAATTTTCTCAAGCTGAAAAACTACTCTGGAAGTTCCAGAAGGAAATTCCAGGGACCCACAGGGAGTCGAATGGACAAGGTCAGGAAAGACATCAAGAATGTTCGCTGTCAGGCTGGAGGCCAGCATTTGCAAGGTCTTGGGTTCCATCCCCGCACTGGAAGGAAAAGAGAAATATATATATATATACATATACATATACATATATATATATGTAGTAGGTAAGTCATTCCATTTCAGGAAAGTCTCCTCTTACATACACACACAAACACATGTTCATGAATATAATATGTGTATGTATATACACAATGTTTATGTGTTTTATACACACATGCACACACACACACACATTATACAGCCTGTAATCCCAGCATTTGGAAGGATCAGCAGTTCGAGACCAGCCTCTGCAATAGAGGCCAGCCAGGGCTATTATGAGATCGTATGTCAAACACCCCAAAACCTGTTACTCGAGTTTGAGACTGACCCCTGCCCTTTAGAGTCAGCCAAAATGTAGAAATTTAAAGGAAGCTTTGGAGAATCTTAAGAATCTAAACTTAGAGAAATTTTTAGACTTATCTCACGCCTCTGGGAGTATTGGAAGCAGGGCGACAGTCTCGCTTTTAGGCAAGTCCATTGACCTTACTTGGGCCCTGGCTCCTGTGTCTACACGAGAAATCCTGCCCTACATTCCCACCTAGTGGAATCTTCTGTATAAGCTAGTAATAAATGTGAACGGGGCAAGTTCAACCCATCCCTACCCACATCCACCCCGCCATGACCAACGCATGCCTGTGTTTGTTACACGGAGACGGAGGAAAAGGACTTCCTATTCTCGTGGCTATTTCTAGATGGTTCCCATGGCCAGGGGTGTGGAGGGCAGACAGGTACCCTTCTCCTCGCCTCAGACGTCACCCGCACAGCCGGAACGCCGGCGGGTTCTGCAGCAACGGCTCGGGAACTGCCGGCCTCCGCGTCCGCAGCGCCGCCGCCCGCCAGGTTGGAGCCGAGTCTGACCCCAGCGTCAGCGCTCCCGCCGGCCACCGGGAACCAGGTGAGCCTCGGTCGGGAGCCACCGGGAGCACTGGCTGCAGCCCGGGAACGTGGGGGATGCTGTGCGTCCCAGGGCTGGGCTGTTTGGGTCACCTGCAACTCCGGAAGGTCCCCGGCACCCTTTGAATGATTTGCGCAACGAGTGGGTGAATGAATGAATGAATGAATGAATGGCTGTGGTCCCTGGAACTTCTCTCTCGTATCAAAAGGCCACGTGAAACAGTGACTAGAGACAGCGGGTTTTGCAGGCTGGGTCCTTCAAAAACTCTCCGTATCGTCAAAAGCTGAGAGAACCGGTCTGTGGGCTTCACCACACTTCCACCCGATCAGTGTCTCCATCAGGCCTCAGCCCAAGGCTCTTTATCCTTTCAAACCTCATTGCTTTCGTTCATTTCGTTCTTTCTGGCTAAACCCTGCGCTCCACCTCAGCGCCTCCCACCCCATCCCCACCCGCACCCCCACCCCCCACTCCCCGTCTCCGTCTGTCTTCCAGTCAAATCCCTATTTATAGATTATATATTGGGTCCGCCCATGAAGCCTTCTCCATTCAGCCCAGTGATGAGTCGCTCTCCAACACACCCCCTTGTATGACCCTAAAGGAAGGTGTCCGTGTTTTACATGACCTGTGATCAGCAGCTGGAGGGCTGTCACCTTCAATTATCTCCTGACACTAGACAACACTATTTGCTAACACCTTTGCAGTGCGTGTCCCCTGTACACTCTCCATCAAAACTGAGAAGGTCACAGGCAACGAGTAGGTTTTGGTTGGGAATTACACGTGCTATTTTTAAAACTTGGAAGTGAATTTTGCCTAATGGTTATAGGAAACAAATAAAAGATGACTGTATCAGGTGAAAGATATTCTTTTTTTAATATTTATTTATTTATTATGCATACAATATTCTGTCTGTGTGCATGTCTGCAGGCCAGAAGAGGGCATTAGACCTTTTTACAGATGGTTGTGAGCCACCATGTGGGAATTGAACTCAGGACCTTTGGAAGAACAGGCAATGCTCTTAACCACTGAGCCATCTCTCCAGCCCCCTGAAAGATATTCTTGCACCTTAACTTTCAGGGTTTCTTTTCTGTTGGGTCAAATTTTTATATATCAAGTTACTTTTTTGCATTTAAATATTTCAAATGGAGATTCTTTGAATCAGTCAGTGGCTGGGTGGCTGGATGGATAAGATGGATAAATGAATAAGGGCAGTAGATGTTTTGAAAGAGCTGGGTTAAAGCGCTTGTATTTTAATAGTATTCTAAATTTAGCACTTAGAGCCTGATTAAAGATAATTAAAGGCTAGGACTACGGCTCAGGGTAGAGCAGCCTAGCATGTGAGGCCCTCAGGTGCATTCCCAGTTCAGGAAGAAAAGAAAGGAATTAGAGCATGCCTGGCAGCCAGCGTATACCTGTAATCTCAGCATTTGATAGGCGGTGCAGGAGGACTGGGGGTTCAAGACCAGCTAGACTACATGAGATCCAGTCTCAAAAATTAAAATTAAAAATTAAAAAAGCCAAGACCGGGAAGATAACTAGCTTATTTTAGACTATAGCATCCCTATAGCCACTCCATATCAGAGCTGTGCTGCTGCCGCCTCTCTGGCTAAACAAGGTCTTCCTATGGCCTGGAACTCAGAGATCCGCCTGCCTCTGTCTCTCCAGTGCTGGGATTAAAGGCGTGTGCCACTAATCTGGGCTCACCCAACTCCTTGAAACACATTTTTGTGCTGCCCCAGAACTTGTGATTCAGGAAGTCTTGCTCGGTGCGGCCTACACGTCCGTAGGAGTTCTGCACATCCCAACATGTGCAGAAAGGGTTGGTGTGTGAGACGTTGCTGGGGTTTTTATGATGGAAGGGCTGAGAGATGGTTCCATCAGGAAAGTACTTGCTGAGAGAGCAGAAGGGCGGAGTTCAGACACCAGAGCCCGGGAGGGGAAGGAACAGGGAGCTTATGACCACCCTGTCTGGCTGAATCAGTGCACTATTGTTGAATAAAAGAACCTATTTCAAAAATAAGGTGGTTAAGAAGCTCTTGTAGAGGACCCGGGTTCAATTCCCAGAATTCATATGGTGTCTCACAACTATCTATAACTCCAATTCCTGGGGATCTGACACTCTCTTCTGTGCCAGAGGACACCAGGCACACACAGTGCATATATATATGTAAAATAAAGCCGGGCCGTGGTGGCTTATGCCTTTAATCCCAGCACTCGGGAGGCAGAGGCAGGTGAATCCCTGTAAGTTTGAGCTAGCCTGGTCTACAAAAGCTAGTTCTCTTACACTGCGAAACCCTGTCTTGAAAAATTAAAAAAAAAAAAGTAAAATAAAAATAGAATAAGGAAATCTTTACCAAAAAAAAAAAAAGATGGAGAGCATAGACTCCTGGCCTCCACACATACTACACATACTCACATACACTACACACATGCATGCATACACACAAACACACCACACACATACATCACATACATGCATGCACTCACACAAGCACGCCACACACATGCATACACACACACAAACATACCACATACACACATGCATGCACACAAACGCATATACAAAGTCATGGAGTTGGAGCCATTGCTGAGACTTCCAGAGAAACTCATAATAAGGAAGTCATGTGTTTCCTTTTGATGTTTCAGGGAGCCATATGATCAGACATCACAGGCAGCGTTCCACCTGTCTCTCTACTGGGGCTCCATGCTTTTGTTTGCTTGGTCAGTTGGTTTCTTTCTTTCCAACTTATTCTAAATGACTTACTAACCTGTCCCTAGATCAGTATGACGCAGAGGGTCTCTTAATGGTGCTTTTGCCTTGACCTTTCCTTCTCCAGCCCTGTTCAAAACAGCTTCTCCTACTGACAGAAAGTTTTATATCTGCACTGGTAGGATTTAAATTTAAAATTTTACTTTACGAAAGTTAGGTTTAAGTAGTAAATTTATTAGCCGGCGGCTCAGCATGCTGGACCACACAGCTCGAGGCAGCATCTCTGATTCAATGTCTCCTTAAGTATATCCCATAGGTACATGACTCCTCCTCCGACTCCAGATCCTAGGAGATCCAGGACAAGTCACACCTCCAGGACCCTCTTGAAATGACTTTTGTTTGGCATGTGGTCTTGCTTGTTTATTTTGAAATAAGCTCTCCTAGAACCAGGCTGACCTTAGACTTGCTACATAACAGAGGCTCTTCTTGAACCCTTGATCCTCCTGCCTCTGTGTGCCACCACACCCAGCTCCCTCTAGAAACAGTTAAGCTGCTTATTTTGTGTTTGTGCTCATGCACGCAGGCCACACTGCCGAGTGCAGGTCAAGCCAGGGTGGGAGTCGGTTCTCTCCTTCCACCACACAGGTCCAGGGATCCAGCTCAGGTGTCAGGCTTGGTGGCAGGTGCCTTCCCCAGCAGTCAGCTCACCGGCCCTCCTCTAGGATACCTTTACCCACCCCTCCCCCTCAGTGTAAAGCAGACATG